TGTGTGTGTGTGAGTGTGAGTGTGTGTGTGTCTCAGTGTGTGTGTGTGCGTGTATGTGTGTGTGCGTGGGTGTGTGTGTGTGTGTGTGTGTCTCAGTGTGTGTGTGTGTGTGTGTGTGTGATGGTTTCATTGACCAAAGAGGATGGAAACTGCTGGTTATCGAGCTATTCATATGAGCATGTTTGACTTTGACACACTGCACACTATTTAAAAGTCAATATAAGTAGAGTAGCTGTAAGAATAATATAGCCACATAATTCTTGAGAATTTTGCCACAATTGAATTGCATTATGTTCAGTCACTTAAAATTGTAAAATGTAGGTTAGCTTAATCATTTTGTGCTGGACTACATGAACAGTTTTTATTGACATAACTAATGGGCAGTGGCTCTGTAGTTCCCAGCTTGCTTTGCATGAAACCATATCAGGGGAGTAAATGTCGACATGAAGTGTTAGTTTATGTGTTTTCAGCAAAGATAAAGCCTTGTAAATGTTTAATGTTTAGTTATGCTGAAGAATTAGTTTCTATTTAGATGTGCTTAGGCTGTGAGAGGCTGTCATATGTACGAAGAAGAAGAAGAAATGTAATTGTCCTTTACATGCTCTCAAACTTAAGTCTATTAGTTTATTTATTAGTTTATTATTTCTTTAGCCCTCCTGTTGTGTTGAACTTGACCCACATTCAAACTGAATTGCTTGATTATTGATTGAACTATTTATTTCTGCTTGAAATCGTGTGACTTTTTCCTCATTTAGGGTCATGAATATGAATGCAAGTTTTCGACACATAGATGTACAAAAATTGTTATGACATTTGTTTTGGGGTCAAATTGACCGCCATTGGTTTCCACGCAATTCACCAAAAACCAGCACTTTGAAAACAGAAAACCTTTATTGTAGCTTCCCAAAGACTAAAATATGAAATACATGAGAGCCAATGAAGTTTAAGAGTCAGTTTACTTGAAACTGAAGACTTGTCTTCTGAATCATCCAAGGATGTGCTGTTTCTTTATCTAGCCAAGTCTGTGAACGGGTGTTTGGTTGTTCGTTTTTTGGATCTCAGTTACTAGCCTGCTGCAGCAGTGAAAATAAGTGTGAGGAACCCATTTCAAGTGCAAATAATGTTAGATACTGTTTGTTTTTACTTGTCGTTTTTTGCATCTCAGTGTGCATATAGTCACTACATGTAATCATGACTAGGAAATATTTTTATTTTGTGTCTGAGCTACTCATTTTTCAACAAAAGTATGTTGGTCAATGTGGCACAATGGGAGGAAGAATTCTTTAACACAATAGGAGTTCATAATTTAACATGAATCTTTGGTTTTTTCTATAGTGTCAGTTTTTGATGAATTGCATTTTTTCCTTCATCCCGTGAATGGTGAATGAAGGGTCTGTCAGCGAGCAGCTGAGGGTGCGGCTCTGAAGTGCACTCACTCGACAGGTTCCCCTGCTTCCCAAACCATTACCACTGCTTCATAATGGAGAAGAGGGTTCACTCACTCACACATTGTGCTGTTCATCACTGATACCAGTCGCTTCAAGACAGACCTGCAGAGTCTTGTGGACAGAAGTGCCATGGGCTGAAGGACAGGGTGTGAGAATGTCCAGCCGGCTGGCCATCCGTCACATGACGCAGCTCTTAGTCAGGGCCGAGAGTGTTTTTGTGCCGGTAAGGTGTGACAGGAATGGAGCTTTGTGTCGCCCATATTATGAGCACACGCATTCACCCAACACACGCCCTGATACCGTGGTACACGCCACAAACTGCCACTCTGCTCTCGCGCAGCACTGGATTCTTCATGCATTGTGTTCAGATCCACACACACACACACACCTCTGGTCTTTCCTGTGTTTCCTGGTGTGAGCAGCACATCTGCTCATAGGAAAGGTGTGTGTGTGCTTTGCGAACAGCTGACGTGTTGATGTGTGTTTAATAGCATGCTGTCACACAGGATGTGGGATGAGCTGCCAGAGTGTTTGTGTGCGCATGTGATGTGATGCGTCTTCATGCGCTCATGTAAGCTAGATTAACTTGGGCGAAGAACAAGCTGTCAAAACTGTTGCCGAATTGACCTAATTTTCCACATGTTTGCATGGATGAACCTAGATATAGTCTGACAGACCATATGCTTGATTATCACAAAAACATTTCATCACAGAATCAAAAGAACGACTCTCGTTTTTTTCAATAATGACAGGCTAGAGTCATCCATATAGGCTATACACTGTCTGAAAAGCACATTTTCATCAATCTGTCGACTTGAAATAGATGAATTGTGAGACCACTTGAGAATTCTCACTTTCTCTGGATTTACGATTTATAGTTATGTGTTTGAGTGAAACATAATTTGTGTTTTATTCTGGAAGCTACTGATGACATTTCTTCCAAACTTAAAAAAAAAAAAAAAAAAAAAAAAGGTAATTTAGAGCATGATATGACAATTGGTCAAAATGACAAAAAAGATGCCATGCTTATGTTCATTTTTAGACAACACAATAATTCAGAAGAGCTCAGAAATCAATATTTGGTGGAATAACCCTGATTTAAATAAATAAAATAAAAAAAACAACATTTGTTATTTTGACCAAAACATTTTTGTCCAAACCAATAAGCTCTAAATGACAATATTTTTGAAATTTGGAAGACATGTTATCAGTAATATTTCACTCAAAGCTATACCTAGTCAATCCAGAGAGACTGAGAATTTTCTGTATGTAGATTTATTTAGATGACCACATATCCTTATTAGCTCTTATGATATTTGTATGAATAATTTTCAACTACTCATAAAGCACTTTTTAATGAATCACCAGCAGTTGTTCCATTTAAAAACGAGTCTTTATTTAAATGCCACAAATAGGTTTACAGCTCAAGTGAAACTGAATCATCAGGTTTCTGCTTTTAAACCCTCTGGTGCTGTACATTTGCTCCATAGACTTCCATTGTATTATTTGGATTGTCTGCACAAAGTAAGATTATTTTTGTGGTGATCAGCAGGATTTGATAAAGTTTTAGCTGTCATTCTGTATCATGCTTTAGTGTGTCCACTACTTCATTAACAGTGTGCTTCTCATGTTTGTGTCAGTCAAGCGTGCTGTCTGTCAGTGGAGCCGGTGGATGTTGATGTGTTGTGTTGTCAGGCGTATCTGTATGGTGTGTGTGTCTCCTCCCGTTTCCTCAGATCTGCTGTCCTGTGTGTGTGTGTGAGTGTGTGTGTGTGCTGACACAGCAAAACCGTTTTAATAAAGACACACCGTCACATTTGCCCACTGATGGACAACATTTACATTCCTGTTAGTCATTGTGTAACTCTTTAAGTGGTAAAACACTGGTTGATTTAGTCATTTGAAGGAAGTTATAGTTTGTTACCAGGCCTGTGGCATTTTAACAAGGGGTTTAGTCTTGTTTTAGTTTGGTGACTGAAACTGATGTGCCTTCCTGTCTTTTACGCCTGTGTCTCGCTCTCTCTCTCTGCCTCTCAGGGTCTGCCGTCTGAGTCGCAGAAGCTGTTGAACATCGCTAAAGAGCTGCTCCAGACAGAAGAAGCGTATGTCAAAAGACTCAACCTGCTGGACCAGGTAACACACACACAAACACGGATCACTAGTGCCCCGTTTCCCCTTCCGTCTGCGTGCTGCGTTTGAGTTTTCCGTTAGGAGAGTTTCTCATTATTTACATTGAAATGAATTGTAGCTGTGGTTGTTTTGTGTTCATACAGCTTCCTGTTTCTGACACTTCCTCTTAGTCTATTTCCTCTACAATCAATGATTTTTGATCTTATGTCAGACTGTTTCTCGGCAGACCCGTAAAGCCACAACAAGCTTTCAGACCACTGAGAACACACTGTAATGTGTCTCCAAAAAACACGGTTTACATTGCATTTAAGAATAATTAAACACGTGGTGAGAAACGGTTGACGCTGTTGCGGGGTGTGTATCTTGTTCTCAGTTTTTTTTACTCTTACTAAAGTGGTGAGAGGTGCGCTGAAGACAATGTCCTTCTCACCTAAAAAGGCCTAACGAGAGAATAACTGCAATTATTTACTTTTACTTGATTTATTCACCTTATTTAAGCAACATATTTAATTATTAAGATTATTAGATAAAATCTTGAAAAACATTCCAAACAAAAGCTCTAAATGTTTCCCTTCCAGCTAAATGACAAGTAAAATAGCCGGTTGTTATCGCACAATATCTGGCCGTCGATGTGAAACGGTTTATTCTGCGATAACAGCCGGCTGGATGTCCATTATACCACTTATTACATGGATAGTTGCACATAAGTAAATAATTAGACACAGAATATTGATTTGAGGGGAAATGTTTTATCAGCTCATTAACCCAGACAAATGAACGAGTTCAAACAAGATGGACATT